GTATTTTTGTCATAAAGCAGAGAAATAATGTTTACACACCTTTGATGCAATAGCAGAAATGATGAAAAGGAACCTTCCATAGGAAAACCAAAAAAGTTGAGTTTGTAAGTGAAAATATACTGGCCACTCAAGTGGGCTAGAGAGCATTTGCTAAGTATGTTCCATACATAAAAGACTTAGATATGTAAATGGTCTTTGGAATATTATAAGTAGTTAGGGAAGAGAACTGCATCCTAGTAGAGTCTATAGCACTTGTCTACCCTGATGACTTGGGTCATGAATAACTTGGCTTCTGAGATGTGGTCTCCCCGCAGAAGCGACGTGGAGGCCGAGGGCATGGATCACAGCTCCCTTTTGGAGAGCTCGAGTTATCCCTGGTGAGGGGAGAGCTGTGTGCACTGTTGCAGAGAGGTCATTGCCAACACAACTGCGTGTGCTCAGCCTGGCCCAAAYGGCTCAGGTTCAGTGTCCTGCCATTAGCCTCTGTGTCTCCACGTGCCACCACGCTTAGGCCACCACGTCGCACAGGGGTGTGCAGACCTACCTGTGGGCTCAGCCTGTGGGAATGAGCACCTAAGGGAAAACAAACCTGTTTCTGAACGTCCATAGGACATGTGGGCCAAACACTCCGTAGCGCGGATGTGCTGATGTGCCCCCCAGTGCTCCAGATGCAGGTCGTTCATTTGGCCAATGTGCACCATGCCGGGCGCCAGGGTCTGCGGTGGGTTTGRAGGCCTTTTTTATTGTGGATATAGCTGTATGCTACTATCCCCCACATGGTTTTTCAGACAGTCAGCTGGACCACAGCAATGCGGTGCTTTTACTCCTCTTTATAAAAATCCATGAATCCATGAGTATTATCAGGGATGAATGGTATGTCAGATGCAGCTGGTGGCTCTGCAAAATCCAGAAAGTCCACCTGAGAGTGGAGCTCTGGCCCTGCTCGTGTCACTGGGATCTGTGCTATTGATTTAAAGAATRCATATTGAATTGAAGAATATGTATGGCCTCTGAAGCATAACTGTTCAAAAYGACAAATCTGTGCTGTAGCAAGGTCAAGAATAAAAACAAAAAGAAGCAAGAAGCTAAGAAAAATCCAGTTAACACTATACCTGACTTACCATAATCTTTTTTTTCTGGCATTTTCCATACAAGGAAGATCTTCCTCTAAAGGGGCAATCTGAGAGGATCTGTTTCCTCACATTTAGAAATAATGGCCCAAAAAATTTGGAGAGGCCATAATTACACAGCTGAATTGTGCCTCATCTTTTGGTTTTCAGTGAGTAATTTTTTTTTTCAAAATCTAGTGACTTTATAGTGCATATGCACTAGATTGTTTTATATTTTAAAGTAGATATAACATCTAAATAAGAGCATTGTAATGTACATTGTGGTACTTGCAGTTAAATATAAACTAGAGAAATGATTTGTTTGGTTACATTTCAGTTTTGCTTGGGGAGTAATTTGCCTAAGTATACAATTGTGTTCTAATGTGGAGTTGTTTTTCTTCTCAATTGTTCACTGAACAAATGGAGAGAATGCCAGAGATTGCAGTGGATAGGGAAAAAAAGACACAGGGAACTAAAAAAAAATCCATAAAACCTTTATTGTGAAAAAGTATCATCAGTCCTCATCTCATTTTTTGTTTGCTTATTGCTGGTAAAGAAAGAGTCATTATTTTGTAGCTCAAAAGTCTTCCTATTTTGTAACTCAAAGTCCCTACTTTGAAGCAAGGCCTGACTTCAATGATATAAGTTGAAATTTTGCTATTGACTTACTGGGTCTGTATGTTTAATACCAAGAACTTGTTTGTTTTGCTTTGTGAATACGACAACATGCCCTCGATGACTCTGTGTTAATTCTGCACAGTGTGGAGACTTTTAGAGTGTGTGCATGTAGAGTACAAACAGTTTGCATATAAGATCTCCATAGAGTATTTTATAGATATTTTGTAGCTCCTATAGGAAGAGCTATGGTTAGAGGGAATCAGTATGTCTACAGRAATGAACATGTATAATTATAACTCTTCCTTGAGCTTGTTTTATTTTATTTGAAAAACAAAATAGAGTTTCCATCTTTAAATTTGAGCCCTTTCTCCTATTGGTTGTCCATCTGATCACCTGCATATTTTGCAGCCCATATTTAAAAAGCAATTACTAGTCGTTGTAAAAAAAAAAACCCTACATTAGCATATTGGAATTAGATGCACATGTCTTTTATAATCTGCATAATTCTAGCATCTAAGCTATAAGAAGCRTCAACTACCCTATTTATTTTACTGAGTTAATTTAAATTTCAAGCTTAAGYATTAAGCTGTGGAGCTTCAGCAGCAACATCACTCATATGTGTTCTTCTGTAATCTCAAGTGGGTTCCCAGATCTTTCCAATTGCTAGAACTAAACCTGTCTGTGTATATGCCAAAACTTTCAAAGATACTTCATGACAACCTATGCAATGATACATATTTAAGTACATATATGGATATCTCTCTACAGATACAAAAACCTGTGACACATTGAAAAGCAGAAACATTTGCATGGCATGATGCTGCTGTACTCTGGGATGCTAAGATAACTTTTGGTGCTGCTCCCATGACCAGAAGATGAGGGAATTTGCTAAGGTTGGATAGTGAGGTTTGGATGTTGAATATTTGACGTCATTTGCTTTAAAATTTCTTTCTGTGAAATGTTTTAGGTCTTTGTTACTTTTGCAACGAGCTGTCTGTGTTTATTTACTGTTATATAGTTGTAAAGCCCCTTGGGAATTACCCCCCTGCAGTATTGGTCTCAAGGTGATACCACGGACAGCAATTCCAGCTGCAGGTGTGGCAGGGAGCACTTTGTGAGCAAAGTCAGAGAGCAGCCCTGTGCAGTTACATCATCACGAACCTTGTGAGGGGTGACCAGAAAGCCATCAAAGTGAAACACTCACTGCAGGCTGCTCTCACACTTGGGTTTTCTGTGAGGGGAGCCTGGACAGACACTGTGGGGAAGGTAGCCCAAGGAAAGTAGCTCTTGGAAGTCACGTAGAAGGGCCTGTGTATTCAGAAGCTTATGAAGCACTATTTTTTTTTCAAAATGTCAGAGATGTTTTTCTCAGTCTATAAGGTATATTAGCAAGCAAATTAAGCAATAAATTGCATAATTTTGCATTACCAACCATTTGTAATGGATCTTCATGGTTGGAAATGATTCACAATTGACCTTCATGAAGTTAACTAAAATCCAAACAAATAATTATCCAAGACCTGGAAAGCTTTCAAGTGGTTCATGGACTTCCTAGGGGATGATGAATTGGAGAAAAAAACACCTAGGTATTGTCATGGGTCAGAGTGATGCTGCTTAAGAACAATTTCTGGGTATTTCCACACAAGAAACGTTGTTTAACAGCTAGCCACTCCTAAYTTAATTTCTCCTTGTTTGCTGTCTTCTGACGGGGTATTTCTCAAGCTAAATAGCAAAGAAGAACATGAGAGGAGGAAGCTGATAATTGACTTTTGGCAATTAGGCCCAAAATACAGAGAAAATGCCTGAAACTCAGGCAGTAACATGAGGTTGCTGGAAAAYAGAGCTATGAGAACAAGGAGATTCCCTCAACTTCAGAAGGGGTGAAGGCCTATTTGGAAAAACGATAGAGTTCATATTTAATGGGGATATTCTGCTCCCCGTGAGGAGAAACCTGAGTGCTGGTATCACTAGCACTTTAATGAACAAGCTCTTTTCTTTCTCTACACTTTTTWGCACTTTCAGAAGGGAATAGCCTTGGATAATATATGTCACCTGCTAGTCCTAGCCCTGTGGAGCACTCTTTTTGAAGGCTTTCTCTTCGGGATGAGAGCAGCTAAGGAGGTTGTATTTGTCATTTGTGTGTGGCCATAAGATGTAGGATTTTTCTAGGGAAATGAAGGAATAGCCTTCTGCGTTCCTTCAACAGTGGCAGGCTGCACTTGKGGAAAGCTGAAAGTTGAGAGCAAGTTGCAGAGACATAGTCCTTATGTTTTTCTCCATTTTACTGGCATATTTTCTTAAGAAAGGTCTTTTAATGAAGAGAAGCAATAAGGCTTTTTCCCAGCAAGTCTCATATTTCACAAGTGTTTTAAGAGAAACAATATGCTGTGAATAATGTAGACTGGAAATACTACTACATGTTTGGGGTGGGTTTGTCTGCCATTGGAAGTAATAAAAATACAGCTGTATGTTATTCATTGGGATTTAGTTTATTCTGGAAGCTAGTTTTTAAGAAACTGAGGTTTATTTATTGGCTGTGTCACAGGAGTGTTTGGACTATCCTAATTCCCATCTTAAGCATTTTTACTTTTCAAGCCATATAAAGGAGAGCTAGCTATACTGTGTGTTCACCACAGCTCAGCAGAGCTGGGGAATGGTCTCTGTAAATACACTCCGTTCTGTGTTGTTTCTAGACACAACAGTACTTCTCAGATGATTTCTATTCTTCTAAAAATTACTCAGCAAACMTTTTACATTCTGCATTGTTGGGCTGTGGTCTCAAGGATTCGCTTTGCAAAGTATCTTTTAATATATTCCAAAACCAGAGGATTTATTGCAAGGGCAACAAATGTGAAAGCTGGGAAAACTGAGCTTTCACACTGGGAGACACAGTTTGATGTCCCAGATTTTTTTTTTCTGTTTATTCTTTTGTTTAAATTCATGTGTTTGAAAGGAAAGAGCCTCCTGCGGATGCCCGGGGGACCCCTTCGCAGCAGCCGCGTTGCGCAGGTGAGCACGTGGGCTTGCTTAAATGCAGAAAATGGCATTCGAGGTGGATTTCATGCAGAAAATGGCATTCGAGGTGGAGAGGGTGGATATGATTTATCGGAACAGCAGCAAGACTGGTCCCTGCCCACCTTGGCTGGGCAAATAGCTGGGCAGCTTGGAGCCTTCCAATCACCTGGCGCAGCGGAGCCTCCACCCCCTGCGCCGCAGCCGYGCTCGCACCACCTCCACTCTGCTTTTAAACAAATATTTAATAAAACCACTTTACACTATTGCTCTTGCGTTTAGGACTGCGGACGCTGGGCACTCGAGAAGTTCGGGACTGGGAGGCTGCCTAGCAGAAGCTGTGCCGGCTCAGATTTGTAAGCAAGCTTGCTGCTGAGAGAAGCCACCTGGAAGCAAGGTAGCTTGTCATCTGAAACGTTAGCCTCCAAATGTGCCTTTGGAGCAGCCAGACCTGTGGCACGCAGGGTTAACTTCGGGGTACTTTACAGCACTGCTGTAGCTCTGACTAAATGCAAAGTCATGTATTGCTGTAGTTGTTGTCATTTGTGCTTTCCTTCTTGGGCTAACTCTCATTTATTTCTTCTTTTTGGGGGCGAACCTTTCCTTTTCCATCWTCAACAGGTGTTGCTTTCTAACCAGGAGAGGGAWAAGGATCATTTAAATGTATCACTTTAAATATGCCACCATATTACAAACTCTGAGAAAGTCTCGAGCACCGCATCAACTTTTATGGCACCACAAAGTTGCAGTTCATTTAAAAACATGTATTGTGTGAGCTTGTATGTACACACGTGGGATCACAGCCTATATGCAATTTTGCCTAAACGCCAAGGTGAATTTTTAGCTTTCATGTGTTGTTGCACTTGCTCTAATCAGTGATACTGAAACTTTGATTTAGGCTATTACATTTATTTCAGATCAAATACATTTTTTTCCCTAAATTCTTCAGTTGGAAAATATAAAATGCTCAGAGATGTATACAGTTTTTTTTTCAGGAAACTGAAACTGAAGAAAGAATTTTTACTTTAATCTCTATATAATGTATATATTTTCCCATTTTGAATATGATGCAGGCTTGTTGAAGACTTTAAAGTATTTTCTCCATAATTTGTGTGCTTAATATGCATAAGCGTAATTTGTGCTTTGTATATTTAGAATATAAAGTACTCCATCTTACAGTTATAATATGATATATAATATGGGATCAAAAAAAACCTAATTTAATGGGCAAGAAATAAAGCATCTTTGAACTACTTATGCTTCAGGAAACTGTAAATATACATACTRAGAATAATTTAACAACTTTCAGAATTTCTGTGTAGTTTTATAACCCTTTTTTTTACACGTGTTAGATATTTTTTCTTTTTTATTAGATATTTTAATGGAAAAATTGGTATAAATATTGAATTGCAACTGTAGCACAATGATAGTTTGATCAAAAGCTTTGTTTTTTCCACCTGCATCAAGGGTTTGTTGAGTATTGATTTCAATTGAGGTCATATAATTTAATTCAAATATTATTTTTTAATAAAAGAGTGAAGTACAATACAAACTGTTTCTGCACTGTCAACATCTACCTACTGTTTGTGTATTGCTTTGCAGTAGGAGGCTTCAAGTTGTTGGATTTTTTAACATGGAAAATATTTTGGAAAAATGGTAGACTTCACATAACTGAGAAGCAGTTAAAACAGTTGTAAAAATCAATAAAAACTTTGCACATGGAGGCTTTGTGCCTTGAATTGTCTATGTATTTATAGACTTTTTGCCACAAAACTTTTGCTCTGGAAGAGGCCATTAAATGTTCCTCATCATCCATTCAAATGGAAGCACTATAAGATAGGCCTAGTATGAATTGCAGGACTGAGCTCATCTTTTTAGATCAGCATTCGGATGAACAATGATCAAGCAGTAAATTATCTAGTCTAAGARTTTCTAGGAAAGGTTGATAGGAAGAAGAAGGGTCTATGAGTAGCTAGAGAAAAAAAGACATCAAAGAACAAGAGAYTGGAGAAAAATTTGCTTGCTCAGGTATTCTGGCAACTATTGTAAATGTTCATGACAGTTGAGGAAGGTTTTATTATTAATATTATTAATATTATTATTCTATTTATGTTAAATGGGTCTGTCCACTTCTTCCCTGAACCAAACTAGAATCTCCCTTTTTTTTGCATGCTGCTAAAGGATTAAAACACTCAGTTATAATGTGCCCAGCATGGGCATTCTGGGGAGAGAGATGTGCAAAGAGGGCCTTGGATGGCCTGGAGAAACACTGAACACTGGTCCTCAAGTCTAAGGCAGCTGGAGTTTCCCTTTCTTACAGAGAGCTATTGGAGACATATTCCATGTTAGAGTGAATTCATATCTAAGGAAAGACTTTCCCCAAAAGAGACTGCAGAAGTGCTGTGACCCAGTGTCCGCAGAGYAAGAGAGCCACCAGTTTGTTTGTGACAAATGCCTCGGTAGAGCACATTGAAATGAGGTAGAGTTCAGGTTTGCATGCATGGGAGAAGCAATAGGTTGGATCTGCTCCTCTCCTTATTCAGATATATCTGCATGCTGTTAGTCAGTGCAAGCACATTTTCCTTTTTGGTTTTGTATCACTGATTTCCTGTGCTTAAGCCCTGTAGTGCTCAGGATTGAATCCTTCCTCTGYTTACATTCCATGGACAACTCTTTCCACTTTGACCGATTGTTACTTGGCTATTGTCCTTGGAGTCCAAAGACAAGCAAGCATCTAATTCTGCCCTCAGGAACTAAGAGAAATGCCTCAGAATGCCTCAGAAGCCCTGTGAGATCTGTCAGGGGCAATGTATTATGAGAGGATCACTTCCTTCTTGATTAATTGCCTAGTCTTTTACCAAAACCACCATTTCACAACCTGACAAGCATGCCTTTCTAGGAAGGCTCAGAGAAGAGCCAGTGCCAACAAGCTCTTCTGTGCCAGTGCTAGTAGCATGAACAGCAGTAGAAGCCACAAGAGCTTGGTAGGAAAAGGCAGGTTTAGACCTCAGTGGTTAAGGGAGGAAGTAATGACAGAGGAGATGGTTATAGTGTCGAGGTAGCAGAAAAGTACTGGGGACTGCTGGTCAAAAGGTAGGATACCATCTCTTGCCTATTCCTCTTCCTTTCCCTTGTTTATCTTACTTAGACTTCCTCTCTGCTGAAGATCAATGATGAGGAAAAGGTGAGGTTTTCTCTCTCATACAGGATTAGGAATAAGACTGTTTTCAGGCGCGTTGTTTCAGTCACTACAAGTTTACCTAGGACAATGCTGCCACCAAAAGGCACACCCAGCTGTTAGCTTGTTTGCTTCTGTGGGTTAGTGTTTGAGTGCAAGACATGCTGAGCCGTAGCACTACAAGAAGTTGTATTTCTGAGTCAGCACGCATTGGCCCAGTTTTTCTTKTGAAGAGAGTAATACATTGAATAATCTGTCTTAGAGGTGACACCTTAAAAAAGACTAACTTCCTGCTGAGCTTTCCCCTCAAGAATGAAGTGACCAATACTGGATCCTTTGCTTGTCACAGCAAAGTCTGAAACGGGGCCACATCTGAGGTAGCACATGTGAGAACAACTGTCAAAGTAATATTTTCCTGTTAGTGGAGCACCATCTGAACTATCATTTGGCAGACAAATCACCCCTTAAAAATGCCGTGAGTCTGCATCATTGAAATTACTAATGGRAAGAGCATGGAGCCTCAAGATCACTACTGCCTCCAGCTATGGGCTTCAGGCTGGCTATACCAACATAGCAGCATGATGGTAGGTAGAGCTACAGAAGTGGCACTGTAATAAGAATCCAGTGGTCTTGGCCAACTACTACCCAGGACAGAGAAACCTGCAACTGACATAATGGGGTACCTGATCCTGAGGCCAAAAGATTCTCTGAAGAATTCAGGAACTACAGTAGAGAATTTTGCCTGAAAAAAGGCAATRTTGATTCTCCTCAGAAGAGCTTATGGATGTCTTCTGTCTTTGCCAACATTTATAACCTGTTAGTTTCAAACCTGTTGTGTGGAACCTCCTCAGTGGGTGAAATCTAGATAATCATAAGTAGATCCTTATTTCAGAGCCTGAAAGGGCTGTCTAAGTTTTGGGAATTTCCCAGTTTTGCCTCATTCCTGTACTGTACTGTACTAGGGCAGCTGAGGGGCATCCTTAATGGATGCCCAAAGCTATTTACTTCTGTTCATGATCCTTTTCTATTTCTCTTTCCCTGAGAGGAAATGGAGATGGCTTTTTACCAAGAATCTTCTTTAAAGAGAAATGCTACATGGCTGACCACACTTGAGGAATAGAGGGGAAGACATTTTTGCTGAGGATTTTTGAACACAATCTTGCTGTCAGTATGACAGTTCTCTTACTTGTGACCCTGTATTGTCCTGAGATCTAACACTGGCAATAGTCAGATAACTGTCTTGATGCAAGACATTGGTGTAAGTAGTTTGGACTCTTGCAACTCTCTACAGAGGCTCTCTAGAGATACAGGAGATTCATACCTCTTGGTGAGGAATCTATCAGCAGAATATATTCCTCTAAAAGAAACAGATTTAATTTCCTAGGAGAGTGCCACTTTACAGATCATGTGAATACAGATGGCGTTTGATATGGATTGCAAAGAAAACCTCAGAGGCCCAGGTATTTTAAGCCAAAGATTGAATATTAATGAAGAAATGACACTCAGAGCAGATGCAGGTTTTAAGGAGAGCAGCATGACAATCACAGTTTGACTGTTGGAGCTGGAGCTTCTAATTCTTACCAAACTGTTGCCTATAGTACAATCCAGTCAACRTGTTCACATGCAGGTGTGTTCGACAGGCTTTACAGTAAGGGTGTCTCTTTGGCACGTCTTTGTCTGTGCAATTCCAGCGTCCTGTCATGCAGTCAAGTGCTTTGAGTCCCCACTTAGCACGTTCTCCGAGGTGGGAAGCAGGGTGGCCATCATAGGAGGGAGGATCACCCCTTTCTTGTAAGGAAGAGTTGTGTGTTTTTTCTTTTACAGATAATTTTGGGAAAAACACTTGATGTGGGAGGGCTTTAAACACTGTTTTAATCTGCTCTCAAGCAGTTTTTACTTAAGTGAATCCTAAAGGCAAAAAGTTTGTCATTTGAATCCAAAAGTAAATTGTGTTGATGACTCTATCAGGATGTTGTATTTTAAAACTTTTGCTATTTGKAGACTTGGATTTTGGATGTTAAAAACGCTTATTTTAGATTGGTGCTGATCTCTGTCTTAAAACTACTTGGGATTTATGAGGTAATAGATGTCAGTTCTTATTCTGTTTTGGAGATGGCTAAGAAGAAGTCAGTAGCAGTTAAACAGAAACAATTTGTTCTATTTTTGCAGCAGTAAAATAAACCTAAAAGTGATGGCTCATTTCCTAGAGAGATATTGTGCTAGATATAAAATTAAGTATAGTGATTCCATCATGTTTCCTAGATAAAAAGTACATGTCAGCTTATTTAATGTCATGGAACACTGTCAATGTATTACTTACTGTAATAAAATTCTTGCAAATATACTACTTTAGTTGTTTTCACCAGTGGTTATGCTAGTTTTTATGTATTAAAGTGATTTTTCTCTATTTTCAGTGTTCTACATCCRCCATGTTGCCCTGTGGACCAGCTCTGTCATTTGTCCGGTGCCTGGTGCGGAAGAAGAACGTCGGTGGTGAAAATCCTGAAGACTCCAAGTTGTGCCGATGCTTGTCTACTCTGGACCTTATAGCACTGGGAGTAGGAAGTACTCTTGGTGCTGGTGTTTATGTCCTTGCTGGAGAAGTAGCCAAATCGGATTCCGGACCTAGCATCGTTTTGTCTTTCCTCATTGCTGCCCTGGCATCCGTGATGGCAGGGCTTTGCTATGCCGAGTTTGGTGCCCGTGTCCCCAAGACTGGTTCTGCGTATTTGTATACTTACGTAACTGTTGGTGAACTATGGGCCTTTATCACTGGTTGGAATCTCATTTTGTCATATGTTATAGGTAAGCATTAGAACAAACGAAGCACTCAAGGGTATCTAAGGCAGCAGATAAAACTATAGTATCTCACTTCAAGAAAGCCATGATGTTTTAGTATTACCTTATTACTATAACCTCATGCTAATTAAGTACATTAAAAAATGCAGTCTTATCATGTGATCCCATCAAAGTTGACTGGATCTGAATAAAATCAACATTTATATGTGGTATATTGAAATAACTAATTTAGTGCTTTGGCAGAGATGCCTCTATTTTATTTAAAACTGTTTTTTTCCAGAGGTAGCATGGCATTTTGGCCCAGTATCTACTATGGTATGTACAGGCACATGTATTTTTTTCATGTATACATAATTTTGGGACTATTGCTCAAATCAGCACATTGATGGAGCATTATATTGAACTSTATTTAGTGATAAAAATGAAGTTATATCTAGCTATGGCCACATACACTTTTTTTTTTCCAGGGACGAGCATTTTAAACCTTCACTCTAACAACATAGATTTTTCCTAGTAATTTTTTTTATCCAAATGGCAAAACCTCCCTTCTTCCATAAACTATTTTGTTACAATGCTTCAAACTGTTTATAATATGCCATGTTGTAAACARATTATATAGAAATAATTTATGTGATATTTGGGAGCAAATGAGATATATTTTAGTTAGAGGATATATGTTATAATTTAACTAAGCACGTAATTTCTATAATATTAAAATTCATTGTCAAAAGCCTCGCTATTTTAAGGTAAGTTTTGCTTTCTTTAAATACAGGTAGCAGTATTTTTTTCAATAGAAGTAACTCTGTCCTTTTGTATATGTGCAGAATCCTAAACTTGCATGTATTTTATGAAGGTACATCAAGTGTAGCAAGAGCCTGGAGTGGTACCTTTGATGAACTACTTGGAAAACAGATTGGCCATTTCTTCAGAACCTACTTCAAAATGAATTACTCCGGCCTAGCGGAGTATCCTGATTTCTTTGCTGTCTTCCTTGTATTGCTTTTGTCAGGTAAGGGAAAAACATGCATCTTGATGATTTTGATGTCGGGCTATAGAATATGTCTTACAGGCAAGGAAAAAATTCTTTTGAATAAGCAACAGAAAGCAAATAAATGATAAAATATAGCTTTATTTTACCAAAAATACCTAGTAGTTTTAGAGAGATGTGGATGCACATTTGGTATTGATGCAGTGGCCAAATTTTTACATGTACCATTCTCTTCTAYTGAGGTTGAGACATTAAATAGTCATTTTGCACCGTAGAGATTGCCAGGTTGAGTCAGATACTGGCATATGTGGCTGCAGCAAGGGTAACACGGATAAGCAAGATAATTCAAACAAATGGTGCAATGTGTGGCGTTCCTGTAGTTTTTATGAAAAACGCTTGTACTTCTAGAAATTTTAGTCCTAGTTTTTAAGGTGGTTTTCATATGGTAAGTAATATAAACCACAAGRAACTATCAAAACTGGAATATAAGCTTGAGAAGATTCATGGATAGATTTTTTTCTACGTACATGAATTTTGTAAAAAAAAAAAAGGACTTTTGAAAAAAATGCTTTTTGAAAATTTTCCTGTGWTTCAGCAGTATTTAATGCTTCCAATCAGAACATATTTTGAGAAATATCAACATTAACAGTCAGTGCTGGGGCCCTTAATGGACCTTTTAGTTTTTTTACCTGCAAAKGAAGGGGAAAAACATTTTTCTTTTTGAAAACTGAAACCCCACAAACTGAAATGTGAATATAGATTTTGCCATCTTATATCTGTTTTCATCATCATCAGTGCTGTTTCCTGACATCAGACATTGAGTTTTCATTTGTTGTTCATCTTYTCATCCCTCACAACGCTCTGTCTTCACTTCTTTTGCACTTCTACCTCCACAGACCTCACCAGGTCTATGTGTAAACTGTTCAGCCCCCAGCGAACCTACTCTGTGAAATTCACTGCTGTTGAGAGGAAGGGCAGAGTCAGGACTTCTCAGGGCTGTGCAGGTTGAGTGTGGTACCGTAATTCAGTTCTGAGCTGTGCAAACCTCAGTCATAGCAATATAGCAGACAGTGCTTTACAGAAAAAAGAATTGTGTTAAGTACAAGGGACAGTCCATAGAAATCTATCCATTTGTATTTCTTCCCTAAAAAAAGGACATTTTAAAAAAATGTGTTTCATACTGTGTTTCATACAACATTTAGCTGATTGAGACATTGCCTTCTAAAGAAAAGCTTAGCTAAAGAGCATGCACTTATTTCCAATAAAAATCTCTTTTGTGAAGAAAGCTTGAGCAGCTCATATTATAGATTTTGGCTTATGAGAAGACAGCAAAAGTCTCATTAATGCGGTCAGAATTTTTTTAAACATTATCTTGAAAGGCTTAAAATTTTCAGACTTAATCTCTAAATAATGAGGGAAAGCAGGTTTGTGACATTAGTGGAAATGCTTAGAGTGCAGAGAACCTGTGCGAGGCTTTCCGACTGTACTTATTTTTTTCCTGATCTTCCTGCTGCCTGGTGTTCCATTGAACTATAAATATAGCTAAAATTGCTACAAATCTAATGAGAAAGTAGGATGCTGATGGAAAACCTTTCAGATGATTGTTTAAATGCATGAGACTATTTTAGAACCTCTATGAAGAGCAGATATGCATTTCTTTTAGTGGCTTTATTAGTYGAGTAGGAAATGTGGCTTTTACTATGTAATAGAAACTTACCGTGCATACTTTAGATTATTAATCTAACAATAGTGATTATTTTATTACTCTAATGAGTAATAAAATTCTGTATGCAGTTCTGTATGTAGTAGATTCTGCCATTCTGTTTTTAGTAGGCGTAGAATTTTTGTAGCTCTTTTCATTCCATGGCATAAAATAGAAATATGCATTGGAGGCACCGAGGAGTAACACTTGCTCAAAATATGTTTAAGTACACATTATTCACAGTACTTGCATATACATCTTTTTTAAAAAGTCATTTTATTACTTTAAGTGACTGTTCACAGTTAGAAAGTGTTTCTGTTTTATAGGTCTTTTATCTTTTGGAGTAAAAGAATCTGCATGGGTGAATAAAATTTTCACTGTCATCAACATCTTGGTTCTCCTGTTCGTTATGATTTCTGGTTTTGTGAAAGGAGATGCTGACAACTGGAAAATAAGTGAAGAATATCTCATTAACCTTACTGTAATAACAGAGTAAGTATTTTTTTCTTTTTTTTTTTTTTGGCTTATATTCCAAGCAGCTCTGTGTTATACTTGCTTCAGTGTTATTGCTGATTGCTCTGTTCCTGGGAATAATAATAATATATATATATATATATATATATGTATATGTAAAGAATGTTTTTCTTTTGTTTTCTTCTTTGTATTTTCCTTAAAAATATTGTGTTGTTTTAATAGTATCGTACATAGCCATTTGTAAATTTATTGGTTTCTCATCCTTAAGCCATGCTATATTAGCTGTAGTATGTGAGTATGACAACAAGGTTTTCATGCACTGTTAGCATTTTAATGTGTTTTGATATGAACAGCAAAGTGAGTAGGATGGTACATGTATGATTAAATATTTTTCTTTTTTTGTTTCTTATAAGCTCTGCAAAAGTGATTTATTTGAAATAGGATTTTTTGTAAGTTTTGTAAGATAAGCTCTATCTTGATGAGAGCACATAACATATTTTTCCAGATACATACATTTATTGTACCAATAATTAAAAATCAGTTATTTTCCTGCTGTATTTTCTTTCTTTTAGGAATCATTCATTCTATCAGAATGTGACAAGTAAATACGGGAGTGGTGGTTTTATGCCATATGGCTTTACAGGAACATTGGCTGGTGCTGCGACCTGTTTTTATGCTTTTGTAGGATTTGACTGCATTGCAACAACTGGTAAAATATTTATATATATGTGTGTGTGTGCGTGCTTGCACGTGTGTATGTACAATATGCATTTGGAAGGAACATAGGCAAACAACATCACTGTATGCTAGTCTTCTGCTGGGCTCTTCAATCCATGTCTGAGTTCATTCCTGAATGAGGTGATCATACGGTGGGAAGGAGGAGATATTTCTCATTTTACTCCTCAGTAAAATAACTGTTGCTTTTCAAGTCAGGGTAATACTTATTAGTGGCTTTTCTTCTGCCCAAATCATGCTAATAACCTGTTTGCTTTTGCCCTTGTCTGAGCTGGGATGTGTCTCCTACAGGGTGATTTTTACATGAATGAGAAGAAGTGAATGTTTAGAAAGCTAAACACATTGGATAACTAACAACTTGCAAATTGTAAGCAAATAACCAGAAACAATGGGCTTTTGCCAGCCTAAATACAGAATGTGTTTTATGCCCTCTAATTTRCCTCTACTTTTGATGCTATTTATGGGGACAAAATATTGAGTTATATTCTATGTCACTAAGCTTATTTTGTAGAGATTTTTAAAAAATGGTATTATAAGTATGATTCCCAGCGTTTAGATTAACAAATATGCTGATTTGTGTTTGATGATACCTTTTAAAGCTGAAGATGGAAATGGAATTCAAAGCTGAAGATGGAAGGCAGGAATTTTTGTTTGTTTTTAATTTCATATGTATTTTTTTTTTCCAGGAGAAGAGGTCAAGAATCCTCAGAAAGCCATCCCCATAGGGATTGTGGCATCCTTGCTTGTCTGCTTCATGGCCTATTTTGGGGTTTCGGCTGCTCTCACTCTTATGATGCCATACTATTTACTAGATGAGAAAAGTCCTCTGCCAGTAGCATTTGAATATGTTGGATGGGGTCCTGCAAAATATGTTGTAGCAGTGGGATCCCTCTGCGCTTTGTCCACAAGGTAAAGACACTGAAATACTAATTTCACTGGGGCAATGGGGTGGCCAAGAAACTGGTGGRTAATATAAGACATTTACCTGTTTGTTCACATGGTCGTTTGGGATTACACAAAGGATTAGCAATAAGCAGCAATAAGTATCAGTATGTTTACACTGACGCAGGACTTGATCACTATAAGCACATTAATTTAGGTTCCTTTCTAGATTGTAGTCTTATGGGACTCTACCTCTTTTACTTGCTACGAGAAATGTCCCTGCTTAAATATGTATTTTTCAAACAAATGATCTACAAGTTATCTCTATTAACAGATAAAATAAACCTATTTTTTCCTTTCTTGCTCTCTGCTCCCAGCGACACAGTAGCTTTATGGCTCTGTGTATTTGCAGGCACTACTGAAGAAAGAGCAGTCAGGGCCACCTCCTTCTCTACTGCCTCTCTCTGGTTTTCTACTGTCCAGTAGCCAGTACATTTTTTAACATCATCCCTTGCCCTGATATCTGTGGGGGTTTTTGGTTTGTAGATTATATAGATACGAAAATATGATAATTTATTCCCCCTTTGGAAACAGGAAGTAACTTTAAAGTAATATGTTCTTTTGATTAAAAAGATTGGGGAAGGTATGGGTGTGTTACGGGTCCCCATATATGATAACCCAGTTATATAAAGACTTAGAATAAAATATTGCTTGGTACTTAAATTTAGAAAGAAAAATACAGATACCAACCTCCTACCTGAATTTATGTAGGTAGCAAGTCATTTATATGAGCCATAGCAATAAGAATACTGACTGGCTGTTCTACAAAGCAATAAAAAGATAGTGTCTGAGCAATAACAGCAGCAATATTTGAGATAACCCTGTGAGCACGAGACTGTGTGAGATGGGCACACTGCTTGTGGAGAGCGATTTAAAGGAAAGGAATGTTCTTGATGTAGGAAGTAAAAAAAAAAGGAAATAGATCCAGAAGGACTTCCAAAGAATGGTAGGAGTGACTGTGAATGTCACATTTCCACAGTTTCCACAGGATTATGGTTAATCTCTATCTAGCGTCATGTCCCCTCAGTTTGGAAGGTTTTACTGAGTTTGTGCTCTATATTGATGAATAATAAAAGTGATATTTAAGGAGAAACTGGATCAAATATTGAGTAGTGGAAAACAAACTAAACTGAGATGGTAAAATACACAGTTTCAGAAATCTGAAATTTTGGTCTCTCTTTCCAGTATATTTTAAATTATTATATTTCCTCATACAGAAACAGTTTTTATTGTTGTTGACTGTTTTCAGTTTAGAACAAAACAAAGGATATTTCATTTCAGATTCCTCAGTTCAGAGGCATTATTAAGAAAAAAATTGTGATCATTGCTTTCTATCCATATAGTCACCTCTTACTAGGTTATGTCATGAACTTGTTTCCGTGGGATAAAAATATTCATTAATATTTCCATTATTTATGTGAATTCATTTAAATAGGGTTAGGAGAATTAAATTTTTCAAAGCCATAAGAGCAAAACTTTGGCAAAAGTTTTGAAAAAAAATCCTGATTTGAAGAACAAATTGTGGCCACGCTTCAGGAAACATTCTTTTTTTTTTGGAAGGAACTTTTATGCAACAACCTCAGTTCCTGTGCAATGAAACATGTTTCATATGTGTCTAACCTTAATGCTCGTATCCCATGAGCATTACTAAAAGCATTTAGCATCTGGGCTATGTAAAAGCTGCACTTTCTGTACAAGATATAGTAGCTTTCCCAAAGCAAGAAGGACAACCATTCAACTGATTGAAAACTGGTATGCTTGCTGCAGAGGTTATGCTGGCTTTACATCTTGTCTTTTTGTCCTTTCAATGTTTTTGGTTTTCTTGATTGCAATTATTTTGCTTTGAGGGAAAGCAACCACTGAAATAAAATATGTATTTTAAACTGAGGTTAGAATCATCAATGTTTTACAAGCTTTCTGTGTTCTGCTGATAACAAATCTAAAATAACTAGCTTTACATCTTTCGATAAAGAAACAATGTAGCTTGGCTAAAGGTGCTTTAATTGAAAAGAACAATGTCCCCAAATATAACTGTACAGTGCTTATTCTGAGCTACAGTTAATCAGCATTCCCAAATGGAAATGCAGAATTTATGAGATGCTGCAAATGCTTATTGATTGGCTCCTGCTGACTGCCAGGCTTCCATAAGGAATGCTAAAGCTCGGATGCATCGTTAGCGTGACCTGGAACACGGTCCTGGTCCACTAATGCCCAAGAACTACAGTGATGGCAAAAATTAATCTGCTAATCTGAATTATCTCAAATTAAGTAATTCTGTTACCTAAATCAACAACTTCACAAGAGAAAAAAAAAAGTATATTCTAAATATTCTATTTGTGTCTGATCTGTAGTATCTTGGGCTATGGGGCTTTCTGGTTTTGTCTTACAGTCATAAATTTTGTTTCTGTACATGCCATTAATTCACGTTGTTTATCTTTTCCATGAYACAACCCTGCATGAACTGTGTTTGCCGTGTTGCATGTATTTGCTTTTTACTCAGTCTTCTTGGATCCATTTTCCCAATGCCACGTGTAATCTATGCTATGGCGAAGGATGGCTTGCTTTTCAAATGTCTAGCTCAAATCAATTCCAAAACGAAGACCCCACTAGTTGCTACTCTATCGTCTGGTGCAGTAGCAGGTGAGATTAAGAGCTGGTCCTTGTGAAGAAAGGTGCACTGCTAAACACGTTGCCTGTATGGATATAAACCTCTGTTGTGCAATTCTGATTTGCTTTTGGCTGAAATGATCCAGTGTGATTGCCGCCAGGTAAAATAGGTTTCTAGTGAAACTTTCCTCTACCACAGATTTTATATTTTTTGATTAATCTCAAGTGCTTTGAAAGCCTAGGTTCAAAATAAAGAAACCAAAAGCATCAATCAGACAGACAAAACAACAGCAGCAGCAGCAACACAGAGCCTAAAATCAAAACTAAACATAAACCAGTCCAAGTTTTCTTTTTGTGTAGTTGGGTTTACCAGTAAAGCGTTGTGCTTTTAATAACCTGTATTTGAACTATACATTTTTCTGTTCTAGTCTTCTCGGCTCTATGTTCCCTTTGCCCCGAATTCTGTTTGCCATGGCACGCGATGGTTTACTCTTTAGTTTTCTTGCCAAAGTGAGTCAGAGGCAGACACCAGTTTCTGCCACCTTGACTGCAGGGGTCATCTCTGGTAAGCTTTAAAAGCCCATACTTTCTTAAAACTGGGAATCAAACCCTTTATGCACGTGCATGGTAATTCTTATTTTCAAAAAGGGCTGCGTGTTAACTTCCCTTGCATGTAACATGGGAATAAAATTACTGAGKAATCAAAGGATGTACAAACTCCAAATCATACCAATCATGGTGGTGGTGGTTTGATATCAAAGAATTCAAAATGACTCTGATTTTTTTTTGATTTTTAATATTGGCCTCTCTTCTATTGTGGATAAGCATTTTGCTTTAAGTGGGTCACATTTTTATTATGAGACATGAGGAAAAAAACTCTACATTTTTAGCAGGATCAACTTTTGTGTAAAGTCCATACATAGATACTTTCTCATTTTCCTCCAAAGAAAAAGAGACACTGTTTTGGTACGAGCTTACCYCATCACTGGGGTGTGCGTGTGTTGGGGAGGGGTGTGTGTTTGCACATACACATATATGCATGCACATATATGCCTACATACAATTTAGCAAAACAGCACTTAAGCAGCTATTAGCAACTCCTGTGTTTCACAGAGGAAATATTTTCTCATGCAACTATTTCACTTTTGTCAGTGTCAGTACTTCTTGCAGAGATATATGTAGCTGTGCCCAAATTTCACTGTGCTAATTCACTGAGTTGTCTGTTTATATAGGAAAATTGGAAATTCCAGAAGTATTTAACTCAAAGGCAAATCAACAAGTCTTAAATCAAAACTAATTCAAATATGAAAACCTTGACTTTTAACAGATAGCAACCCTGGCCAAAGGTACTATCAAATAAGATATTCAGGACTGAGCTTAAAACATTATTATTCAGTCACCCCCAGATGCCCTTTGCAAAGCTGGAGCTGGTCATGCAGTGTGTTTGTACTTGGTGCTAATGTGGCAAGGCACAGGCACGTTTCCAATAGCTCCTGCTTGAAGCATTAGCATCAGTTCCCATTTTTGGGGGGTCCAGTACAAATTGATCACTTAGATGGGTTTGTATTGTTTGGACTTTTAGTTTCAGCCTATATGTTTGACTTCTTCCTATGTGCTAATTTGGAAGTGCAGTTATATGGGATGAAATCAGTGTCTTTATCTGAATTCACTGTAATGATGAGGGGAAAGAAAACTGTATTACTGGGTGGGTGAACTGGTCGGGGAGCACAGCCCAGACCCTGGGTACGCAACAGCAGTCGGCTGAGCTGCTCCTAAGCCAGTCTGGGGAATTCACTGTGTGAACAATTTACCTGAGATGAGTTTCTACTGCTGGAGAAGGGCTAGGTTTTTCCTCTATTTTTAAGAAGATGCCTGTTYGGTAACATGGTTACCAAATTAAGTGCTTTTGCCAGAAAAGAGGTATGCAACAGCTTGTAATATATAATCGGACTGTCCTAGCATAGATAGTTTCATAGGTTTAAAGAGTGTTAAAGAGATTAGATGTTTGGCCTTTTAATTAAAGATATCAGGTCAAAACTACAGCTGAGGCAATCATTGTCACATGGTTTTATTGTGACTTGCATATTGGAATTGTGATTGTGAAAGGTGGTAAATGGGGAAATGCTTCATTGTCAGGTCATAAATTTCTCTACTGYTGTTTCTTATGACTGGAGAGAACTGAGAGAAGTGGAAAAGCTACACTGTTTCTTGCATACAAGTTTTTTTATAAATTTAGYTTTAATGCATAAAATATTCTGGGCTAGAAAGTAGCCTTTCAAAGCTAGGAGGATTTAAAATTAAATACAGATACTGTGTAATAGGCTACAGCAGGTTCTGTTCTTTTTCAGCTATGTTTACTCAAGCTCATCTGAGCACACTAAGCAGTGAGGTTATTAGAAATTTGCCCCATAATTGACTTCTTGAATTTATGAACATACTTTTTATTTAAAAAATGAGATGATCTTTTTTCCTTCATTAGAAAAAGAGAATAGCGGGTAACAGAGTAGTCTGGTTTTCATAAAATCACACTTCCCTTTCTTCATCAGGATAAAAAAACAGGAGAATGTGTGTTTGTGTTTGGGCACTTACACACCTGCCTACAAATACATTAACACATATACAACCTTTCTGTATAATATAAAAATATTATATAGTGCATATAGAAAAGTTTGTGTGTGCATATATATATACAATGTGCAAAGGCTACTTTTGATGGTTTCCTTTGATGCTGAAATTAACCGGTGATTCAAAAGATTAAATACTTTCAGATTATTTCTGTTTCTAAATAATATTAATAAAATACAAATATTTTAAGAGGCCTTTTGGACACATGTATTTCGAATCATTTAACATTAGTCTTTCAGTAACTTCTCGTACCAATTTCTTGATCAGATGTGTGTGTCCATGTGCAGACAGCATAGACCAAAAGAGACATTACATTCAAGAGTCTCAAAAAGAAGGTTTCATAAATAAAAATGATTTCTATAGTTACTCTCACTGTTATGAAAAATTCTGCCTCTGATTTCAGTGGCCTTAAAAACACTTGTTCTTGTGAGACTTTGTTGGCTTTTTCTGAAGGCCACTTGAACTTAAATCAATTTTAAAAAACTGCACTGTTTTAGAGAGAAATCCTGAAAGCTCTTTGCACCAAGCTTTTTCTCAGATCAGTGGAAATGTAACACATTTTACTGGGCCAGATCCTTGTTGCACAGCTCTGCAGTGGGAGCCCTCCTCTCAGTTTTTGATGAGATTCTATTGATCTGTCTATACAGATAAATCTAGTACAAATCGCTTTGTTACACAGCATGGCTGTACAGCTCATTTGTGCATATCTATTTGAATAAGATGCCCAGCAGCAGGAAATTAAGTTTGCAAGTGTTGTCTATGACTTAAAATGTGTTTTTATGGATTACCAAAATTTCATTCATATTGCTGTCTGTAAAGCCATGTAATATTACACTGCTGAAAAACTGTAAATCCCAGCTCTCTAATTTAACAGCCTCATACAAATTTGCATTTTCTTTTTTTTTTAAGCTGTAATGGCATTTCTTTTTGACCTAAAGGCTTTAGTGGACATGATGTCTATTGGTACACTTCTTGCTTACTCACTTGTGGCAGCCTGTGTCCTCATTCTTAGGTGAGTCAAAAATATTGTTTCTATTCTGCTATGATTTGTTTTTCAGCATACAAACAGAATTGACATTTATGATGCCTTTCTTTTTTTGCTATATAGTTAAATGATTAAAATTTAGCTGTAATGCATCTAAAAGATTACTAAGAGCAATGAGTTTTCAAGAAAACACTGAGTGGCCATATTGCAATAACAGTATAGCAATTGCTCAAATCCAAACTTCGTATGAAATTAGACACTTTATTTTCCAAAAGAAGAACTGATCCAGGCATCAGCACCAAAGGCACTTGTTGTAAGCTTAGGTCCAAAATATAATTAACAATATTTTGCATCTGAATATGAACTGTGCCATGTACCAGGCCTATTTTAGGAGGTTTATGTGAAAGACATACATGTTCCAAATAATTCACAGGATGAAGAAGCTAAAAGAATGGACTGTTATAAACAATTGCTTTGTATTACCCTAGACAGTAAGTTAGCAAGATCAGACCAATGTTTCAAGATGTGATAGTCTCAGAGGAAAGTAAAAACATGTCCTCACAATGAGTGAGGTTGTGAATAATTGTCAGCAAAACTGTGTTATCTGTTGTGTTTGTAATGTGACAGAATAACATTGATATATTGATGATAGACATAGGCCATTTTGTTATGTATTTTGTGTATCTTCATTAGGGTATTGACCTTTTACAATATTGTAAGAAGCTAAATTGATAACTTTGAAATGTATGAGCATACTGTAATTCTAAGATCACTTAAATCTGTTCAAATTCACATGTTGCATTAATTTGCACTTCAACAATCACTCTACTTTATCCCATGGTGACTTATTTAAAATATGCGTTTGTAAAAATATACTTAAATCCCAACAAAGCAGATGCAAAATTTCAGCCTGAGCCAGTTAACAGRCCTTTTACGTGATGGGAAGCCCATCAGAATGGAGGTGCTGCTGAAAGGAGTGATTCGCACTCCCTACCCTTCTGTATCACTGACCACCAGATCTTGTTCCTTCCTCTGTGCCAGATTTGTACTATCTAGCTCGCCTGTTGGTACATACACTTAGATTAATAAACCGCTCCCAAAGCCTCAAGCAAACACAGCAAAAAAGTGAGATTCCACGTTTTTTTGGTCTGAGATAGTGACTAAGAGCATGCTGCTGCAATGCGCTTACAGATTTCAAACCTCTGCTGCAGGGAGTTTAGCTTTTAGATACATTCCCGGGAGTATATTCATTCAAACGTCTAAGTAAACTTGATTTTTGTATTTTTTCTCCTGTTTTATGCATAGATACCAACCCAGTTTAACCTATGAGCAACCAAAATATTCTACAGAAAAAGCAGCTTTGGCTGCATCAGAAGGGGAATCTATAGTAAGTGAATCACAGATAACTATGATACGAGAGAATCACTTTGGTCTTCAGACCCTGATTAAGCCATCCAGCTTTCCTACAGAGCAGACTGCAACTACTGTTAACTTACTAGTGGGTCTATTAGGTGAGTATCCAGCTGTCCAAACTCATATAAAAACTAGCATAAATAATGTAATTTTATTAGAGAGCAATTAAATAATGATATGTATCTTTTTGGAATCATCATTAACATGTTATTCTGGAGAACGAGTTTCTAATTCCTGATGGATTTGATCTATAARCTATATTTCTCTTCAAATAAGCATTTTCATTATAGCATTTCATACTGCTAAATGTCTGCTATCGTTCTTTTTATAAGTCACCTCCTTTTCAATGCAGAGCTTAAGTGACCTCTTTTATGTTTGCATCATTTTGTTTTCCACACAGCTTTCTTGGTCTGTGGCTTGAGTGTTCTCACCACGTATGGGACTCATTTCATTGCTAACTTGGAGCCCTGGAGCATTGGCCTTCTTGCTACATTGGTGGCACTCTTCATATTTACCCTTCTCCTCATCCAAAGGCAACCTCAGAACCAGCAGAAAGTGGCCTTTATGGTGAATAACCTCACGTTAAGCTCTAATCTTACACAACAGTAATTTTAGACCTAGTTTAGACCCAACTAGAGAAAGAKTCATTTTTCCTAAGTCTTAGAAAAATGTTTATTTTATAACCGGCTTGTTGATGTTGCGTGTGATGATTTGAGTCCTTCCCACAGTGCCAGCCTTTCATTCCTAGCTTTCATTTATAATCTGAGATAAATGGGGAAGAACTAAGAATATTGGTGAAGATCAAGGAATCTGATAGGAGGGACAATTTGGAAAGAAGCAATATGTGTAGTATTATATATATATATATATTTGTATACACGTGTGTGTATATACACACACACACACACACACATGCACATACTTGATTAAGCTAATATTTTTCAGCTGTAGATGCAGGAATTCAATAGTATGTGTTCTATACGAACTGGAAAGTTTTTCTTGTCTACCTAGAGAATATATTTTGAAAGTTCCAGATATGTGGAAATCAGTGGTTAAACCCAAGGGAAAAAGAAAATTTCACTATTTATTTTCTTATTTCAGTAAGAAAATTTCCCACTTCTTTTTTGGTGAGTAGGTTTATCACCTCTAGTTGTGCTGTGTAACTCAAGATTGACATTAGTAGTTGAAACATATAAGAAATAATATTTAATAATACAAACATTATTATTTATTTCCCCTCAGGTTCCACTGTTGCCATTTTTGCCAGCCTTCAGTATTCTGGTGAACATTTACTTGATGGTACAATTAAGTGGTGACACTTGGATCAGATTTAGCTTCTGGATGGCATTTGGTAGGTACTTGGTTCATTTTGGTCATCTCATGTTAAGAATAATTGTCCCTCTTCAGATGTTCAGCTCCCTTCCTTTGAATTTCTGAAAATAACTTAGTAGTTACTATAATAAAATAATTCTGAAAATAATTTAGTAGTCACCTGCTGTTTCTTGTCAAAACAACCCAGTGCCTCAGAAAAAAAGATCCAGAGCCTAAATTGTAAATACAGCTGTGAGGAATAGGAGCTAATCAAACTTATAGAGACTAAATCCAATAGGCCACATTTTTTTTTCTACTGATTATAGCTAAAATTGAGGAGAAAGCTGGTCTTACATTTCCTTCCCACTACATCAATCTTTCCCCTTTAAGGCATGGAAACTACATTAATTTGATCTACCTGTAAATAAGACATAGTAGTTTCCTTGACCTCTTAGAGTCATGAATTAGACAAAAATGAGGCACTGGAATTTAGCACCAGCACTTCCAGGGGAACAAGGAAAACCTGAACCATGACTTTCAGTTTACCTCATGCAGACAGCTGAAACAGAAAGAGGGGCTTGTTCTGGAAAAGGCACTCAGAGAGTAAAAAGCAACTACTTTTTAATGCATTATTTACTTGAAACCTTTTTCTTTTCTTTTCTTTTTTTTTTTTTTTTTTTTTTGGAAGGCTTCCTCATTTATTTTGCTTATGGCATCAGACACAGTCTTGAAGGTCATCCTAGAGAAGGAGATGAAGATTCTGCTTCAGAAAATAGCGGGATGCAAGAAAAGAACCCTGTGGCAGAAGAGGATGAACAGGAAAATGCAAATGAAAATGATCAGTTTCTTGCACATGAGAGGACAAGTGAATGTTAGTCTATGCAAACATACAAGTATTTTAAACAATAAACTGATAATATACTTGCTGACTGAACTTTCAAAAGCTTCACCAGCCAACATTGTGTCTCTTGAAAGTGTTTACCACAAAGCCAGGCTGATATTTTGGACAAGCTGCTGACCTGTTTTCRTCATTTCAGCACTGGTAGCGTGAAGAGTAATGCTGAAATTACAAAAGCAAACAAGAAAAGTACCCTTTGGCATGTAAAAATTTGGATGCATTGTTTGAACCATCGTAYGGAATCACTGGCAGCCACAAAATGTGAAGAACTATAGAACTGCCTGCCACAACTTCTCAATATTCTACCCTGCCTTATGAACCCAAGTGCCTTTCATACATTTTCCTGTTTCTCTCAAGTGTTTTGGTCACAGCCTAATGGTGTCTGAAATAACAAAGCAACTAGCTCACTGAGCATTAAAATACCTAGTATTTTCTATATAATTAATTCTAATGGGAGATAATTTGCAAGTAGTTCTGGAGAGTGTTTTGCAAAACAAATGGTTTATTGCACAGATCTGATTCTATGCAAAAAGCAGATATTTAAAATATTTTTATATATAAGTAGTAAAAAAACCCAGTTGCTTACCCTTATTAATAGGTGCTTATGGAAAACTCAACTAGTGAAGCTACTTTGATGTTTTTTAGTGTCTCTGAACAGCATTCAAGATTGTTATTTCTGTCTTATGTTAATTTCTTTCCTTTTAGTTTTGCTGTGTATATAAAATAATACTCCCAGGAGGACTTACATTGTTTTCTCCTAAAGCACCTGGGAATAATCTGCTGGTCACTGTGTGGACAGTGACATGGGTACATGATTTAGCAGGTGTTTTGCTACTGATTCAGAAGGGCCCAGATTTCATCACGAACAACATAATTTGGTACTTAAGCAAGCACTTGGTACTTGCCAAATTACGTTAATTGGGTACCAATGTACCAAAAACATTTAGTGCTTTGGTATACAGCAGCATCCTTTGTCATGTGCTGAGGTTTTTACTTCTGGTTCTTACACATTGCTTCTCCTCAAAAAAATTAATGCCTAAAATCCTGGCCGCCTATTCAGGTAGAAGGGGAGGTGAAACAGAGATTTAAGCTTCTTAAAGAATATTCTTTAAAGTGTTTCAGTGTTTTTCAGTTAAACATATGTTACAATCCAACTCTAAATCCATAAACCCATTTATGTGGGTAGGATGTCCTAAAGATAACTTAGGCAAAGAACCAAAATGTTGCAACAGTGCTGTGTGAACAATTATTTTAAATCTAGWAAAAATGGGCAGTTCTTTTTTAACATAAAAATCATATTACTTTTGACACTTTTTTCAGCAAATAGGCTTAATATCTTGTAGAATTCCACAATGCAGAGTTATTTTGCAAGAATGCCWTTTATAAAATTAACTTCCCTTGAGCTAGAGGGAGCAGTCATGAACTTTGTCACRGAGAGTTGCAGTCTGAAGCATAATACTGCTTGCATTAGTCATTGACATTAATCCTTGTTGTTAGCTATAAAAACTTTTTATCTGTGAGAGCTATGCTCATCAATAGTATAAAAAAGCACCTTATTTTTTTATAATATCTGGAATTTTGAAAAAAAAAATTTAAGCTATTCTTGTCTCTCTTGCTTTCTGTCTTTTTGATGGCAGTGGATTCAGGTGATTTTTTTTTTAATCTGAAAGTGAGTTCTAATATTGTAAGGGAGGAACCTGCATACATTTTTAAAGGCAGAAAAGTAAGTGCTTTTCRATAGAGACCTTAGCAATATGCTAAGGTTTGATGTTGTCGGCCTGATCTCTTGCTGTTCAGTTTGAATTGGGACGTGACTGTCTTGCTGCTGGGAAGACAGGGAGATTTTTTGCTGTTGCACTAGTGGCCTCTACCGGCTACTCAAAAGAAGCAATCCGAAAAGATTTGCACTACTGTTTCTCTTGTTGGGCATAATCTTGGGTTTATGATATTTCRGAGAAAGTCTGTAGAAAAAACTTGCAAAGAGAGTGAAGCAGGGCATTTGTGGTTCCCTTCTCCCAGGAAGTGAATGGTAAACATACAATAAGAAAAATGCCCACCTCTTAACTGAGGTTTCAGAAAAGCCCTTTAAATGTTGTTGTCCTAAGAACTGTTGTGCTTAAAACTGGCAGTCCTTAGAAACAGATGGGACACAGAGAATGAGGAGAGACTATAGGTAGGTGGCCATGTGATACTATTTTGACATATCATAGTCCTTCCAGAATTCATCTTAAGTTGATAGCCTCTTCTTTCTGCATTTCCTCATAGCTTTACATGACATCATTACGGAGATACTCAAGTGTCTTATTAGAGTAAGACAAACAGATGACATTCTAAGTAAATATTTTGTAATAATAGGAATTAAGAGGATTTTTCAGGGTGTTTTTTGAGTTATTRATGAGTTTCAATACCTCCATTTGGTGAATGTAGGAGCTGCCAATGTCAGCTGGATCTGCTGTTTTAATTGTACTTCTCAACAGAGGCTCATTTTTAGGAAAGCATGAGAGAAAAAAATATGTTCTTGGTTGAAACGTTAGAATTTAAGACCTTCAAAGCCACTGAAAGGGATTCAGTCTAGTAATCCTCACATGTCAACACAGAAACTTTATTTAAAAGTAAACAAAAATGACTAAATCAATCTGCACTGTTTTTAATCCCACAAGGATTTGACATAGAGAAGTTCTTCTGCTCAGCTACTGCTCTGTCAAGACCACAGCTTCTTCCATGGTTGCCCTGTGCTTACCTGCTTAGCTCACTTTAAGYGCACTTATATCCCTGGCTGCAGAAAGGCCGAGCTCTTGGAGCAAACCAGGGTGCGATTCCCACCTCCCGCACGAGGTCCATGCAAGGCTCCGGTGAAAGTTGCTCTCCTTAAATCTCTTGTGTGCTCCTGTGTGTGGCAAGCACAGACTTACTCTCCTCCCTGGACAGAGAGCAGGCCAGTCAGGCTCCCAAGGTGCAAACACTGCTGCTCCTGGAAGTTTGGAGGTCCGGAGGTTGGGAGGTTGAGAGGCTGGGAGGCTGGGAGGTTGGGAGGAGGCCTCCGTTCTCCCACAGCACCAGGCTCGGCCGCAAGGGATGTATGTGCTTGCACCGGGCTATACATTTGCACCTGTCTGTCATTAGCCCATAGTTACTTTGATGTACTGATTAAAATAATTTCTATACTGCACTGGAATTGTCCTTTGAAGGGGTAAATGTCAATATAATATTCTTCTGACTAACAGTGCTGCCTTAGTGCTAGGTAAGACTCCTAGGGATGGAGCAAATTAATTTTCYCAGCTCATTTGCCGAATGGATTTGTCAGCACTTTGTGTATAGACAGTTTCCTCCCTTATTTATATGAATATTTCTTCCCGCTTTTTATAGAAGTTAATTGTATGAAAATGAAAGAATGTGACTGTACAAATGTTGCTGAGGGAGATTGGGAGCAGCTGCAGCAAGGAAATATCCATTTAACCAACGAGCTGTCATGAAATTAAAGGAAAGTCACTRGGTGTTCTCAGTTTGACTGTGCAAAGCTTATTTATATACGTGTATAGTTAATGTCTTTATTAGTTGGTAGCTAAGCAAGATCACTATATGCCAGGAGTAAGATATTTATTGTATAACAATCTTGAAATTCCAGTCGTTTTAATGGGACTTTGCAGGGACCGGCCATGTGAAGGGTAGCCAGGCTGCTTCTTACACAGGAGGCGTGTGAGAAGCATCCCCTGGTTTTGTGCTCTTGTCGCTGCCCAGGGATGTCTGTTTGCCGAGAAAGCAGCTGAAAACACAAGTCCAATGAAATTCGATCATTGCTGTTGTTTTAATGTAGTTGTTGATATTGTAAATTGTTACTTGTTCCATGCAAATAATATGTGTTAATATAAAGTATCTGTTACTGCAGAGAGCTTATTGTATTTTTTTCTTTCATTCTGAAAGAAATTCTTCAAATGTTATATTCRTGATGTGCCTTGAGATAGAGCCATTATTTTTATCTAATTGGATTTAGTAAAGTAAGCCAAAGCATATTCAAGGGAGAACAAATCTCTTTGTTATCCCTCAAGTGGACATTGTTGTTGTAAACCATTTCTGCATAAACCTTATGAAGGGTTCCTCTTGTAGTATTCCAAATTTTACTCCTAATTCTGCCRTAGGAAATTTCAGATGGTACCTGGGATTTTGTTATCTGTTATCCTGTATATAGTTATTTTGTAAGAACTTTGCTTTTCCTTGCCAAGTTGATTTCTCAGATCTGTCATGTTATGTGTTAAGGCTTTTTATTTTACCTGCTATTCGGGAGTTATTGGTAATAAATGTCAGCATAGTGATACAGGACTACTAAGGGAGTTATGAATTTAATCATGGAATAGTTCACCTATGCCATGCAGTAACTTTAAAAGATATGAAAAAAAATGGAGGCAAAATACAGTAAAGTTTTAAAGATATTTGTATTTTCTTATATGATGAATGTATGAGTGAATGTATGATGAGATGATGAATGTATGACCTTTCCTCTTACATTTATACAATGTTATATACCTTTTTAAAATAAATATAATGCAGATTATTTTCATAGAGCTTTTAAGAAGTGCCAATACCAGATGCCTTGTAAGCATCCTGAGATATTGAGAGCTAAACAAAATGGTTTAAATCTCTGGCAGTGCAGGAAATCTGCAAGGGACTGTGCAATGAGTTTTAACCAGGTGTAATCAAATTGAGAAGCATTTTATACAGTGGGAATTCAATTCATGTGATGGTTCCCATGTGTTATCTGGTTACACACATACATATACACACAAAACAACAACAGTGAAACAACAAAAAAGCACCTTTAATGCTCTTATCCCCCTCTTCTTCCCATACTTACCAGCAAGTTTGTACAAATTAATGTATGCTCACTGAAAGCACYGGGACTACTCAGCATCAGGCAAACATAATATTTTACAGAAAGAATCTTTATATTTGTCTTTAATTTCCTCCACCTTTAATATTTCTTTCTGGTATGTTTTGAGAACCTCTTCATTTCAAACAGCTAGAATTTTCCAAATTGTCTTAGAATTTTCTTAGCCTTAGCCAAACTGAAGGATTTCTRTGCTTAGACAAACTCTGTGTACACATATACATGTTTATTGTCAGTTGGACACATTCTGATGTCTTTGYATGTTTTCATCCTCGGGCCAGGCAAACTCCAGCTTCACCAGCAAAAGTTTAGCTGGAGACAAGAAAAAGGTCAAAAGGCTTTGAACCCACAGTGTTTGGGAGGGCATTTTTTTCCTTTGCATAACAGACAGTACAAGTTCACCAATATATGTTCACCATTTAAAAAAATATTAGTGCTTATATCCATTTTAACCTTTCTCTGTCTATGTGTATGTTGTATCATCCATCCATACATGTTGATCCAGACTGCATCTGCATTTCATGCTGCTGTGCATTTAAAATGTAGACAGGACAATGCTACTTAAACTATAAATTTATATTTCTTCAAATGCTCTAGCTTGAACGAAGTCTCTTTTTTTTTTTTTTATAAACGTAAAAATACGTTTAGCATATATGTAAGAATATGGTGCTTGTTTTATTTTTTTTCCCCTCACTTTTACAATAGAATTATAACCAGCAATATTTGTATTTACCTTAGTCCCTAATCCTGATGGAAATGGTCTCGCTCCTTATTTACTGTAAGCTGTGCTTCACGGGATAGCAACTGCGCGTTTGTCCTGTATGTTTAAAATAAAGCAGAGTTTCACTTGTACCTGCCTTCTACTGCAGCTCTAGCTTCAACCACCACCAAAGTATTTATTAGGAAATACCAGAATAATGTAGCAATCASTATCACTAACATGTCAGATAGCTCATGCTTTGACGTGATATGAATTGTAACTCCCAATATATCACCGAATAACATGTAAGCGGTTTAGTGGGGGGAACAAACAGCTATATTTTACTTTAAAACTTCTAGGTCAATAGAACATAAGCCACAAATTAACTGGGCGAGGAGCCGTTACTAGCGGCGCGCGACCGTTGGGGGCCCAACGGTCCCCGCCCATCGCGGCTCCTCCCCGCCGCTCCCTCCCGCCCCAGCCCCGGCCCCGGCTGCAGCCCCGTTCCTGGCCGCGGTTCTGGTCCCGGTCCCGGTCCCGGTGCCGGCGCGGCCCGGGCGCTGTCGCCATGCGGCTCTGGGTGCTGCTCGCGCTGCTGCTGCTGCCCGCCACGCTGCCGCACGGTGAGCCGCCCCCGCGGGCCCGGCCCGCCGCCCCGCCGGCCCCCTTGGAGCCCGGCGGACCCCGCCATGGCGGCSGCGGGAGCCATTTCGGGGCGTTTGCCGCTGCCCGGGCAGAAACGTGGCTC